CCAGGGCCTTCACACTAAGCTACACCCCCAGCCCTTTTTTTTTTTTTCCTGTACCAGGGATCGAACTCTGGTCCTTATTTCGGGGCAGGTGACAGAACCACTGAGCTAAATCCCCGGCCGCCAGCCCTTTTTATTTATTTATTTTGAGACAGGGTCTAGCTAAGTTGCTAAATTGCTTAAGATGAGCTCAAACTTGTGCTCCTCCTGCCTCAACCTCCCAGAGGGCTGGGATTACAGGACTACTCTAACCACGCATGTCTCCCAGTTATAGTTTTGACCTAACATAGAATTAAGGTAAATTTTCTTTTCTTTTTTTTTTTTTTTTGGTGTTCTGATTTTATCTACAAGGTTTGATCAAAATATATGGTAAATATTCAAAAGATTTTTTTTTTTAATTTGTTACAGTAGAAGACATATTGCCGTTAAATCCTCCTCACTTCAAACACACATATCCCATTGTTCTTGCCACTTTCTAAAGCAATTCTGGAAGTTTTTCGTTATTGTCTTTATGAGATATGATCAAAAGCACAGTGAGTGCTGCTGCCGAGTGCCATCCAGCAGAAAGGCAGGCTTGTAAAAACATTACATGTGTCTTCATCACCTTATTCACCAGATCTGGCACCATGTGACTTTTGGCTTTTCCCCAAACTCAAAATGACCATGTAAGGTAAATATTTCAAATTGATCCAGGACATTGAGGTAGCCACAACAGTGCAACTAAAGACACTTAATGAAAGAGAACCTCCAGAACTGCTTCAGAAAGTGGCAAGAACAATGAGACAAGTGTGTTTGAAGCAAGGGGGGGAGTATTTTGAGGAAGATTAAGGGCATTGTGTCTTTCACTGTAATAAATTTTTTTAAAACTTAAGCATTCACCCTAGTTTTCGATAATACCTCATATGACTGTGACCCAGCCCACTTTGGAATTTATTCCAGAGGAAGTGAGCTTTTTATAGCTGGACTGTCACAGGGTTTCTGCCCACTCATCTGTCTTTCCTGCGTCTTTTATTTATTTCCCTGTTTTCAGAGAGCAGCTGTTAATAGAGACTTCTCCACCACAAGATGGTGCCCCAGAGTAGTTAACTAAATTTTTTCTTTTTCTTGAGCCCCCACCTTCACTTACATTAGTAAACTAAGGGCTATTTATCTGAGCCACAGTATAGCTACAAAACCCAGTTGTGTTTTTCTTTAAGCTTTGTCTTCCTAGCTGCATGGAAACTTAGCCAACCAGTATCAAAAAGCATATTTGTTTAAATATTTTTGTGTCTTTATTATAACTCTGAGAATTCATGTGGAAATTTTAAAATTATCATCCTAATTAATAAGTCCAGTTGTCATTTTATATCTGAGCTCATTGAAAATAATCTGTAATCTTAGCATAGCTTTAAAAAAGGAATAAATGGAGTCCAGGGCAGTGGCACACATCCAAGTACTTGGGAAGCTGAGTGAGACAGAAGGATGACCAGTTCAAAGCCACCCTGGGCAATTTAGTGAGACCGTTATTTAAAAAAAAAAGTAAGTACATTCTAAAACAGGGCTTTATTGTTGCCTTTTTAGGTATCTGAATCCATGAATAATACTTTCTTAGTATAAATGTTTGTTCTTGATTACTAGCCCAATTTTTAAAATAATAGGTTATGACTAAAAATAGATGTTGGGCATATTTTTCAGCTAATAAGAAAATGTTTATTAATCATTTTCAGTACTGTATATGTATTTTCCTCCTAGCTCTTTGATAGTTGAGTAGGAAAAATATTAGGCATTCCCTCACTCAAAGCAAGACCATGTCTTTAAATTTTTGTGTTATTTTTGTAATAACTCCCACAGGTCTTCCACAAAGACAGGACTGTGAAATACCTTTTGAAGAAACACAGAAGCCATTATTCCTAGCTTTGAAGGAAACAGCTGCTATTTTACCAGTTGTAAAGCTTTGGATTTGGGGCTGTCACACTGATCTTTATTCTTCTCTGCTTGAGCTAATACTGGCTCATATTTACTGGGCCAGTTATGTCCAATCTGTCTTAATTTAGAACTAATAAAAAATATAGAACTAATAATTAGGAACAATAAAGCCAATTATTCTTTTCTAAAATAATAAGATAAGTAACAGAGCAGAGTGGACAAAAATCCAATATAAATATATAGAATATATAAATATACAAAAGTTTATCTATTTAGGTTGAAACAGTGTTGGGAGTGTATAGGAATAAAATCCTATCCATCTTGAGGCTCCTTATCTCTATCCCGGTGGATTTTAGGGACCTCAGTTTGAAAACAACTGAACTAATCTATGTTTAGAAACACAACCCCGAATCTAATGTGACCTGACCAGCAGATAGGTGTTAGGCATTAATCTGCAATAGGGAAACATTTTCTTCAAGCTTTCAAAGATGGAAACTTATTAAGCACTGTTTTCTTACCCTTTACCAGATAAGAAAGCCTCTCCCCTGATGTGGCCAGTTAGAAGAATCACTTCCCTTGAGATGTTCCCTTGACCCTTTCGGTGCTGGCTTTGTGTTTTTTAGCTCTTGGACGTCGTGTCTCTACTGGCCAAGCAGAAGCTACAACTGCTGGTGCTGGGCCGGAAGCACATGCTAAAGCAGCGTTCCCGGTGGAGAAGGGATGAGATGGAAAAGGTGAAAAAGCAAGCCAGCTGTTTTTTTGCTGATGATATGTAAGTACTGGAGGTAACAGGTCGATTACACTAGGATCCAGTTGTCAGCTTGTTAATTACCTACTTTTGCCCCTTTAAAAAATGCATGTAATAAATTCGGTATGGTGGTACATACCAGTAATCCCAGCACTCTGGGAGGCTAAGGCAGGAGGATCGCAAGTTTGAGGTTGCTTGGGCAACTTAGCAAGACCCTGTCTCAAAACAAAAACTGAAAAGATAGGGCAATTATTACATATACACAGAATATGTACCTTGACCTTCTAAGTTAGTCATTTAGCAAATATGAGCACTTTCTCTGTTCTTAGTGAACAGCAGTGAACAACACTGAGTCCCTGTGTCCTAGGACTTGCAGTAAGCAGGTGAGCAGAGAAACAGCAGTATCATTCCAGGCAGCGATCATTAGTGCTGTCAGTACAGGAAGGTGACGTAAACAGGAAAGGGTCAGGGCATCACCATTCCCTCCTCCTCAGCACACGCTGGGGTTCTACTTGGTGTCCACCAGCCATAGACTTCTCGGTGGTTTATAATCATCTCTGAGGTCATGTAAGTCAAGAATTCACAGGCGCCTCCAACAAAAGGAAAATAAGCAAAAAGCACAGTGAACTTTCTGACTTCTGTTTTCCGCCTCCTGGGATGTGTGTGATTGTGTCCTTTCTCCCCCTTGGTTCAGCTCACAGGATGACCTGTTCCTTCTGTATGCCACACTGAACTCAGGGAATCACTGCAAGTTTATCACCAATGACCTGATGCGAGACCACAAGGCCTGTCTGTTTGATGCCAAGACCAAACACCTGTTCTTTAAGTGGCAGCAGGGACATCAGCTGGCAATTAGGAGTGTGTTTCCAGGATCACATATAACCTTTCACGTATGGATTCCATTCTTTATGTGATGTTAACGGAGTCATGTAGACAGTAGGAATGTTGTTTGTTTGTTTGTTTTTTAAATGTGACACTCAATTTTTCTCAATTTTAGTTTGGTATTTGACATTAGCCAATTCCTAGAAACAGAGTGTCTGTCACAGCAAAAGTTTTCATGGGCCAAGCCCAAATTAACTGACAGTTTGAAAGGCCTTGGATACCATCAGTTTGTGACCGCAATTCTGTCATCAGCTACAGCTTCTCATATGTATTTTTTGTTTTGCTATTTATTTATAGTAGCTCACAGTTCCTCCCCCCTATGGTTTGTCACAAGTCCATTAAGAAACTCATAATCGGGGCCGGTGATTTAGCTCAGTGGTTTCACCGCCTGTTGTGCAAACTCAGGGACCTGAGTTCAATCCCTGGTACCCCCCAAAAAGAGAAACTCATAATCCACTCCTCTGGAGTCTCAGTGGAGTTCTCCTTTGCTTCTGGTTTAGACACCTATAGCACAGGGATACCTCTTGTGTGAAAGCAGAGGGAAAAGGTTATTGCAGAGAAATACATTGGCCCATGGTAAAGTCTGGTCTGGTGGTCAGAAAATGTACAGGAGGTGTGGAGATGAGATGTTCCTCCAACGCATGCAGAGTTTTAGCTGGACATGAATAAATTCAGGAGACTTATTGCACAACATGGTAGCTACAGTTAATGTATTGTATTTCTTTTTTTTTTTTTTTCGAGACAAGGTCTCACTGTATAGCTCAGGCTGGCCTCGAACTTAGCAATCCTCCTGCCTCTGTCGCCCAAGTGCTGGGATTACAGGAGTGCGCCACCACACCCAGCTTGTATTTTCATTTGTCGATTTTAAAAACAAAAATATGCAAAACAAATTTATAGGAAATACAGTATCAAAATACCAGAGCGCTTCCATCAGCAAAACCAGGACTGTATCAGAGGAAATGATACAGGACAACTGACCTGGTTTCCTCAGAGACAACAACAAAAAAGAAAAATGGGGGGCCGGGGATTTAGCTCAGTGGTTCTGCCGCCTGCCTCGAAAGCACAAGGACCCAAGTTCGATCCCCAGTACCAAAAAAAGAAAAAAGGGGATGGGAAGGGACATTCTATATTAGAAGAGAATTAAGAGCTATTTCAACCTGTCACATACAATAACCTTATTTTAATTCCTATTCAAACAAAAGAACTGTGGGCTGGGGATTTAGCTCAGTGGTTCTGCCTCCTGCCTCAAAAGTACAAGGTCCTGAGTTCGATCCCCAGTACCAAACAAACAAACAAACAAAAGAACTGTAAAATGTATGTATACAAATGTAATAATTGAGAAAATGCAGACAGAAATATAATAATGTTAAGGAATTATTAGTTCTTCTGTTTCATTATTTTTATTTGTTTGTTTTTGGACCTTGCACATGCTCTGCAGCTGAGCTATTCGTTCAGCCAGGAATTATTAACTTCTTATGTACAGTAGTGATGGTGCTCTTACATTTGCAAAATAAATCTTTTATCTTTCCGAGTTACACACGAAAATAATGCAGAAATGAGATACGGGATTTGCTTAAAATAATCTTGGATACGGAGGGTGGGGCATGGCTGACATAGGTGGCTGTGAGTTGAGAATGGCTGAAGCTGGGTGATGGGCACGTGAGAGTTCATTATACTATTTCTCTACTTTAGTATATTTGAAATTTTTCACACATAAAACCAATAAAGGCAACGAGAGGATTCTGTAACTTGTAAATGTGATGCTCCTAGGATGTTCAAGGTCCTTAACCTTGGAAATGAACCTGCCCAAAAAGGAGCCTTTCATACCCATCTTCTAATACTCTCTTCACAGAGTTAATTGCTCTGTGAAAAACTAATGTTGGCCAGGCATGGTGATGCATGCCTGTAAGCCCAGTACTCGGGAGGCTGAGGCAGGAGGATTTCTGCAAGTTGAAGGCCAGCCTGGGGTACATGGTGAATTCAAGGCCAGCCTGAATTATACAGCACATAGCAAGACCCTGTTGCAAAAAGCCAAACAAACAAAAAAGGGCTGGAGCTATAACCTAGTCTAAAAGCCCTAGGTTCAAACTCCAGTACTATTAAAAAAAAAAAAATTAAGTGAAACTCCAGTGTTAAGTAAGACAGGGAATATTCCTCCAAAGCAAACTGAGAAGTTGTCTGAAAAGAAAGGGAAACTATGCAGGTGACAGGAGACCTTGAACTGTTGTTCTCACTGTTTGGCTCTCTTTTTCATCCAACAGCATAGTCTCCACTATGACACGGTCGTGCAGACCACTGGAGACTCATGGCACATACCATATGATGAAGACCTGGTGGAAAGATACTCCTATGAAGTCCCAACCAAATGGCTGTGCCTCCAGCGGAAAGCATGAAGATCCCTCCTCACCCCGCACTGAGTTTTTGTTTGCTCACTCTCCTGGCTGCCGCTGGAGCTCTGAAGTCCATGCTTTTTTAGGGCATTTCCTCTGCCCTAGAGACAGAAGTTTAATGACACTGTTCTGTCCGCTGGCTTATAGCAACAGACTGATACCCGACCACATTGCCCCTAACATTCGCGCTGAGAGCCTCACCCAGAGCTGGAGTGGACAGTGCAGAGGAAGCTTTGCTCCTGCAGGCCTGCTATTCCACTTAGCTTGAGTGCTTCTGGTATCCATTTTGCTGCTTCAGACTTCACCTTCTAGGCCCACCAACTGTTTCTTCTTCATTTTATAATTCCAATTATAAACACTTTTCCAAATTGCATCAACATTTTGTGAACTTTTTTTTTTAAAGAGTTGGAGTCTCACTACATTGTCCAAACTGGCCCTGAACTCTTAGGCTCAAGTGACCCTCTTGCCTCAGCTTCCCAAATAACTGGGACTACAGTCGTACACTCCAGCACCCAGCTTTGAGCTGTATTAATTGTATCACTTGCTACGAGGAATTTCTGAAGTAAACAGATTTTTTTTATTTAATCAATTTTAGCTTAACAACATGACTAAATTTTAATAGTTGCCTCTCTTTTGTAGCCTCTTGCCAGCCAGCTCATCTCACTGGCCCTAGCTTTCAGATGAAAATGTTTATGTCTGCCCTTTGTGACACTTCTTTACCCTTACAGTATGATTTAATATTCAAGAAAAGGCAAAAACTAGAGCTATGGATGTAGCTCAGCAGTAGAGCACTTGCCTAGAATGTTCACGGCCCAAGGTTTAATCCCTAGTACTGCAAATACAAACAAAAAACAGATGGTATGGTGATAAAAATCAGAATAGTTGTTGCCCAAGGAAAGGGACATGGAGAACTTTCTGTAGGTGTTAGTAAGTCCGGAATATGATCTGGGTAATAATAACATAGCTGCGTGTAGACATTAACCCAAACTCATCACATTGAGCTGGGCATGGTGGACATGCGTAATCCAAACTACTTAGAGGCTGAGACAGGAGGATTGGAAGTTCAAACAAGACCATGTCTCAAAATGAAAAACAGTAAGGGGACCGGGAATGTAGCTTAATGATAGAATACTTGCCTAGCTTGTGCATGCTCCTAGGTTCAGTCCCCAGTACAACCAAAAAAAATTAATTACACTGAACACTGAAAATCAGTATATTTACACGCATATAGATATACCTCAAAACCACGATAGTGGCCAGGCATGGTGGCACACACCTGTAATCCCAGCACTTGGGAGGCTGAGGCAAGAGGATTGAAAGAGGATCACTGTGTGTTCAAGGCCAGTATGAACTGCATGGTGAGACCTTGTCTCAAAAAACAAGAAATCTATGATAATGTAGAAAAGATGATTATTTGCAAGAAATCACTTCATTTATATGAAACAAGTAAGGTGTTTTATTCACAGAGATGCAATCCAGAAAAAAATCTCCAGGAGGATTATTTCATCTCACCCATTTACTGACTCGGCACCGAGTCTTCCGTGCTCTAGGCGGAAGAGCTTTCTGGGAGAGTACTTGTTAGTGGAGAGGACTGGAAGGTGCCAAGGATCAGAACGTTCTCACTCATCCAATCTGTTTATTTGCTAAATTTCAAAAACTATATTTAACTCTGTCAACTACACACATTTACCTGTAAGGACCCAAGGATATGTTGAAAACTTTGCTTTCAACAAGCTAACCTTTTTTAAAAAAACAGAATTATCCTAGTTCTAAGAAAAAAAATGTTAAAAAGAGCATTTGTTAAGCTCACCCCAAAGCCTTGCAATTTCCTGAGAAGGAGCACATAGAGATGAGGAAGATCCTGAATTTTAGAGCTAGGGCGAACCTTGAAGAGCATAAAATCCAGTGGCCACATTTTAGAGATGAGAGACAGACCCAGAAAGTTGACTCGACTTCCCTGAACCCCAAGCTAGTTAGGGAGTTGTTTCAGCCAGAGCCTTCCTCCTGGACTCCTAGTCAAACATTCCCTCTCCCAGCGGACACTGCGATTTAGACTAGTTCATGGTGACAGATGGACAGCACATCCCACCCCTAGGTTTTGAAACTTTACTGTTATGCACTTAAGAGAATGTGAGTACCTCTTAAGGGTCCAGCTATCATGGGGTGCCCACCAGCGCAGAGCACTGTAGAAGAGAAATTACTGCTTGTTTTTTTAAAGACAGGGTCTCGCTATGTAGTTCAGGCTGGCCTTGAACCCACTGTGCAGCCCAGACTGCCCTCAAACTTTCAGTGATCCTCATGTCTCAGCCTTCCAACTGCTGGGATTATATGCCTGTGCCACACACCCAGCAGAAATTACTTTTTGTTTATACTGGGGATCAAACTCAGGACCTTGCCCTTTTGAGACAGGCGGCAGAACCACTGAGCTAAATCCCTGGCCCAAAAATTCCTTTCTTTTTTTTTTTGGTACTGGGGATCAAACT